AGGTCAATCTTGCTGACGTCAGCAAATACGTCTGTTTACGTAAGCAGTTTGCCGATTAGGGTCGTTAAAGCCCCGGCTGGGAGTCAGCTGTATCAACCAAATTGTACGTCATATTTTTTAAAACGGGGAGAGAACAGATGGCATTTAAGCGTATTATATCTGTCGAAACACGAGAATTTGTGGCCTTTTCTTTTGATGATTATCTTCCATTCACGTCTATGGGATATTTCAACGACTTCGGTGTATACCGTTGATTACCGCCCGAGTAGAAGAACACCCGTCATTGTGCTAGGTGAATCGGTGAAGAAGCAGTTCAGACAATATCTAATTACGTTTATATTGATTCCCAGAGGGTAAAAATCAATAGAACGTTTTGCAGGTGGCAGTGTCACGTGCCTTTTGCGTCAGTGTACGTCATCAAATCCGACATACTTTTCATCCTCCTTTACAATTAATTGTCTAAATGCCGAGTCTATCCCACCATAGCTTGGCATACGTATCTTAGACGTAAATGAACGCCGAGATCTCGTTGAGCGCGAGAGAATTACAAGACTTGGTTTTTGCCTGATTTACATACGACGCTGAGACAGTGGACGCGATTACGTGGAGAGGGGGACATTCATCCTGCATTCAAGGGTGTATACACAAACCTTGGCAACCGACTCTGACAGCGATATTGAGCGGACAGACATTGATGGTTATTAAAATATCATTTGACAATACATTTATTTGAATTTTACTGACATGTGATTGGTTATTCCCATAAACGGTGACATCATCAAACGCACATTCGTTCTTATTAGTCACGTGTTTTACAACAATTGTTTGGCGTAGTGGGGAACAGTCCTACGGTATTTTACCGCTTATGTCGTACTACTTAAAAAATGAAATTGTATCGTTCTTATTCTTTTTAATCCTCACACAACTAAACGTAGAAACTTTATCAGCGATAGTTGTCACAGTTTATTAGGTAGCGATAGTTTGTTTACAATTATTTTTCAAAGTATGAATGTCATTCCCAACTTCTATGCAGACTAAGATTGACAGCTACCAGTTATATACGCATGCGCATTCCTGAAAGCAGTCGGGTATTGTCCTTCGAATGAACTTCGAAGAATAAATCTGTAAAACATATAATATCAAATTCTCAAACGAATAATATTTCATCTATCACACCATTGTAGCTGTGTTCTCCACACATATAATGTTTATTATAATAGTAATATATTTTATTCGGGGAAGATTGAGAATATTGTTTCACGATAATATCAACCACCACAACACGACACCCCAAGTCATAAACCGGGACACATATAAAAAACACACAAGTAGAACAAATATACTTTACAGACTCGCTATTGTAAGTCGTGTTGCACAACTGTTGTGACAAAGAAAACGATCAGAGACAGGCTAAAGTTAGCTATAAACGCAAATATAATATTCATGATTGACACGTTACACAGAATCAAAATCTGTGGACAAAGGGAAATTGTGACCATTCGACCCACATTACTAGGACGTGTGTGTTGAAACGATGACATTCGATCGATTTACACGTCACAGTCTTCACATCGTGGATATGGGTATGCAGAACCGTTGTGTAAAATAATCATTTGTATAAAAACAAAAATCGAACGCGCAAAATGTCACCACGAGATCATGCCCTTTAGTTAAATACATATTGGAACGCACATGAATGCAGAATGTGTTGAGACAGGTCGAATTAAAATCGAATCTTAGATACCGGAAAATAATACCGGCAACGACTAAAAATCGCGACGTCATGACGAAGCGTTGTACTGAGACTATATTGGGCCTAGTATGTGAGGGTTTATAAGCCACCCCACTAACGCCTAGGTACGGTGCTAGTAATATCCCATGCAGGTAGAACCTGTTCGGTGTTCCCCACCCCACTAAGTATATACGGTCATAATAATAGGTCATAATTTGATTGGATGAATGAAATATCTGTCAGTTTGACAGCTAAAATTTGAAATTCCTAGTGAATTTTATGACATGGCGGATGAATAACGTGAATGGGTAATGAGATATTACTAGCATCGTTGGTAGGCGTTATTTGAGAGAAGAATGGCAACACATTTAGACTACAACATAATACATTACTAGCGATAGGAATTAGTGGAGTGGAGAATAACGAGCAGGACCCGACATAAACTACTATATATGCTTAGAAGACTATGATTTTATTTAATACATACACTGATAACACATTAGCGGTAACGGAATTGCTGTTCTGTTCCGTACACGTGTCTACTAAATAAAGAATTTCGAATTCTTGCGAGGCCATTATATTCATCCATGCGGCGGGATATTAAAGGATGGTGGTCATCTCGCAGCGCGTGTTCGAATTGCATGTAAACAATGTCTATTACACGCGTCGTGTATATTGATATGAGTCTCACATCGAACAGGACGCGGTGCGACGACCACCGCCCTTTAATTCCATCGGGAAGAATACGGGATGGATTAGAAATGAGAGCATTTAAGACCCGGAGAAATTGTAGAAGTTTGATCCTCACAAAATTTCTTTTACAGAATAATCCGTTCGAATAAAATGTAACCTGTCACCCCCATTAGAAATAATAGTACATTCTTTAATGGTGCGCACCATTTAGAACCATATTACGTATATATATATATATGTTATCATGATGTAATGCTTTATATAAAATTTGTAGGAAAGACCACGTGTTCAACGGGCTGTAGATCACTTCAATACCGATGATTTGGAATATGTTCTCAAAGAATTCATTTTTCGATAAAACCTGGGATGTTATTCAATCCTTCGATCGTTCTCGTCAAATGCAACGCATGGCTACTAGTATATCATTGCCCGTAAGGAAGCTATGAATAATTTAAAAATACACAGTATGCATAACGCATGTAAGACTTTCACTCATTAAGTATGCAAGAGCAACTCATTAATTATGCATACATGACCCACAACTCCGTCATGCTTGTATAATAATCCAGCAGAGAGAAATTGAAATGAGCCAAATGAAAAGAGATGTCTCGTCACACTTCTGGGAAGCGATACCCACATATTAGACGTATTTCAGGCCCGGGGATTTCAGAATGACCGTGAGTGTGTGTATTAAAGAGCGGTGGTCGTCATGCCGCGGCGTCTTGTTCGATATGGAAGTCATAGCGACGTATACGAGGCGTGTAAAATACATTGTTTCTTTACATGAAATTCGAACACGCGCTGCGCGACGACCACCACCCTTTAAAGGTGAGGTATCGCTGAAGAAACGTACACCCCGGGCAACGTACAAGCTACGTGACAACGTAACTAACATGCTCGTGACAGAGTATTTTATTTATTAAATAGTGGAAGCCGGAAAACTACTTTAAATTTCCTTCAATTGTATAATTACACCTCTTACGTACAACATGCAATGAGAAACAATATAGCGTTCGTGTTGTTGACACCTAACGAGCGAGAAAACGCCCGAGGGAAGGGATGTGTAGTGTTAATAACGAAAAGAGTGTGTGGGCGCCTGTACATGTTTCCGACGCGTGTCGTCTTACTAGATATTCCCTGAATCTAAATCTCCAAATCAGGAGATAACCTCCATTTCCAGGAAAAGTGTCTCGTTGACAATCACCGCGATTTGTACGTGATGATCTAATCTGATTTTAAGTATGCCATCGACTATCATTTGGGGAGATTTCCCCCAATATGGAACCGTCGAACCTTTTTCTTTTCCTTTTTTTGATGTAATTTTGATGTAATATTAGTGATGAAAATAAATGCCCTAAGATGGGAACCTAAAACCTAGTTTCATTCATCAAATGTTTTGATAGAGAGATTTAGGACTGGAAAAACAATATCCCAGTTATAAGAGAATTTGCTACTGTGACATGTGTACAGAGAACAGAGAAAACAGTTACATTTACTATACTAGACCTGGTAAAAAAAAAAGAGGATCGTCAAGAGAAATTTTCGTAAGTTGTAATCAATTGTTTTTATTTTTCGTAATAATGTAATTTAAATAAATAAAAAACGTAAATTCGTAGACATGGACAAGGTGTAAAATGTAATCAGTTATTTTATTCGTCCGTAATTTGTACAAATTATTTTTTTAAGCGTACACAACATTTTCCACATTAAATGTCGAAATTCGTACGCAATTTCCAATTTTGATTTTTAAACACAAATTATCAAATATAATACAAAAATGTAATTAGGAATTTGGTTTATCCTGTAAACTAAAAACCTATTTTTTACTGTAAATGGAATTTTCATTTTATTTCCTGTAAAAACGTAAAAAATGTTTTTTTTTCGTTTTTTTTTTTTCTGTAACCTGTACCAGCTACCCTATTTGCCCTCGTCTCAAACAGCATTCCAATAAATCAAGAATGTAGGTACATGAGAAGCCTATTTTCATCAATTTTTATCTTTTCGACCAGCTTTGCATGGTAATGTTGGTGGAAGTTGCGTTGGGCACTCTTAAACAAGGACATCTCACATATTATAGGATCAAATGCAGCCCATATTAAAGTGTGTTATTATACATCTGTCACTGTAACGCCATAAGTAACAGCATGCCGTAATTTTGCGGTATTTTACGGGGTATTTTCATCCTACCATATTAGGAAATGCGAATTCCAAATATGGAATGATTACGCGCGTAAGTTTCCTCTAATAATAAAAACAAACATGGCTGCCATCAGGGTTTGACCGGACTCCATAAAAAGAAGTTCGCTGATTCAGTTCTAAAATATTTAGATTCCGGCATTCCCATGATGTATCCCTGGAAGGAAAAGATGTATAATAACAGGTTATTACGAAGATACCTCAAAGTATGCACTTAGACAGTACGCTGTCGCATCGGCCTCCGCTGCATACTTTGAGGTATCTTTGTAATAACATAATATTTTGAACGTATACTCACCCAAGCACCGTAATGCATCAATGACCCAATATCATATGGAACGCTATACGAGTTAATAGTTTCAGGACCGTATTTATTGAAGTTATGTGACTTTCCGGATTGGATATTGTCCCAGTGGATTGTAACATAATTATCTCGGTCCTCGCGACTCTGTTCATGCCAAAATCCTATTGCGTGGCCAAGTTCATGGGCAATAGTTCCTCTCTGTTAGGCAAAAATAACACATAACAGAATAAGTGAATACCTGGATTCACGGAGTATGAATACATTGTTTACTGTCACTTTGCGATATTGTATACATTTTCTATGATGCGATCAAAATATGGTTCTGTGTCATTGTTGGACGAGTAATTCAGTAGTATATGAACATGCCGGAATAATAAAGTACAACATAGAGTGTATTATACGCCTAATTGACAATCAAACCTCTGTCAAGAAGATATTGCTTTTATCTGGCGTATGGCGTACGGCGTTTTCATTAGCCGGCGTTCCTAGTCATCAAATAGCTGCGAATCTCTAAATATCAACAGAGGTTATATGTACTATGATAAATGTACACATATATCCATTGCGTAATAACAGGGTATACGATGTTGTATTCCTATTTACTATTTGCCTGCTGTCACACACTACCAATAGTAAACAATTACGTGATAGTTTTTTTTTTTAAATTGCATTGTATTTTAACACACCTAAGCCCGTTGTGGGGAAATAATAAGTCTTGTTTACATTCCATGCAGTTTACTGAAACAATGTAATCAATACCACATGTTGGCTCATTCGGCTTTTATTTGAGGATTGGTGCATTTGTTACCTTTGTGCTAATTTGTAATATATGGTTTAACCTATTATTAATTGTTTTTGGCGTAAATGTTAGTGTAAAACCCACTCATGCAACAAACAATGCATTTAAATATACGCCCTATATTTGTATTTATATAACACGTAATTATATATAACTCACGTATGCACAGCCATTTCCTATCGAAATGTCTTGGGGGAGTCTACCAGTTTGACCGACCCACGACCAGCATCTGTACAGGTAATACATACATACACGGGATTACAATTATCAGAAAGGTATTATTTGCGGATTTCTATGTCGTGTCAAGTGGTATTTGTTTCAGAATACGTTACAATTATCCGCCATTTTTGTCGTGCATGGTTGTTCGTAGTTGGTAATAACATTAAATATAATACACCTGAGATAATACATGTATATATTCGATATAAAACAAGTGCTTGCAACTAAACGCGTGACTTATAGTACAAATATAGTGTACTCCTGCAAATGGACAGTTGCTTTATGCAAATTTTGGTGAACAATGAACTGCTGTTTGTGCGCGTCATGTGCAGATTCCGAACAAGTCTCAATCTAATCAAATCATCATTTCGTTAGTTTTTTAATTGGCTTAAATAGTCTGAAAACTATGTTTGCTATTATATTGACGATGATTCCTATTGACGTGTACATCAATACCGCAGCACTGTGTTTAGCCCTATCATTAAGTCACTGTATTATTATTATTTGTAGCAGTTTCGTCATTAAATACAAGACAAATAATTTAGCTCGTATTGACCAGTTCATCTTTAAAACAGTTGTTTTAGAACTGACTATAAAATGGAATATGATATATAAATATACGTATTTGTAAAACATTTTTGGCAACTTTGATTTCGAGATATATTAGATCCACAGAATCAAATCGGTGCTTGAATTGCACAAAGAGTTGCACACGCGGTCGGGAACATACTTCATACAAATCATTTTCGCAGCATTCAATTTTGACTTCAAAAACATCGGGTGTCGACAATAAATGCGAAAATTTGTATAAAGTAAACAAGTGAAAAAACAGCTAATTTGGTTTCTTTATGATTAAAATTGTTTCACTTCGAGATTTTGTATTTTATAAAGTTCATAAACTGATGTAAAAATGTATAACGTAGGTGACCAAATTTGCATTAAATTTGAATAATAATAGATTCATCTCTGATCAGAAACATGTTTTCGACAACATTGAATATAAAACATTCGTTGCTTTCGAAGTAAAAACAAAAACACTAACTGTCCCGACATACATGAAAAATACATGATTAAACAAGTTAGGAAACTTACCCGACATCTTTTATGAAATTGATTCTGTTCGTGTGACCTTTGTTCGCGTCATACTCTGGAAACCTAATACAAGTGTTGCTCTCCCAGTAGGCAAGTGCTTCTTTTATTTTATCGCTATCACCCTGACCTGTAATGAAACCAAAAAATTGTTGTACTTAGCGGTGAGCTTGGAAAACTAATACATATAACCACCAAAACTTAGAAAAAAATTCTTACTTTCAGCCGATATTACATAAGGCACGATTCCATCTGTCCAGCGCAATGCGAGATCAGCATGCGCTTTTCTCGCATCCACGCCGCTTGCCTGTGCCGATATATCTGCTTCAATTGCTTCACGTTGTTCTTTTGTTAATTTCATGTCAGACTCCAAAGTACCGGGACTCTCTTGCTCCTCGGGAGGTTCCAGGTGAACTACCCCCTGAAATGAACGATTTAAAAAAAAATAGGAAAATGTTTCGAGTTGAGGAGTGTTTAATTAGTTTATTAATTTAATTAATTTAATTTAGTCACTTACCGCGAGTGCGCTATGCACACATACCGCTAACAATACACAAACAGGGTATATTACGTGAATCTCTGCCATAGTGACCGATGATTTTACCAGTAGGTATCGTGACTGTAGAACTAAAGATCAAAATAAATTCTCAATAATCATTTACTTAATCATTTGATAATCATTTACACAAATTATTTTTTACACAAATAATAATTTAAAAGGGCTACATTACGTGTCACTGCAGTTATATAAATACGAGATTTGTTCGTTTAATTTTTTACTTCTAAAACTGCAATTTTATAGATATCAGGCTTCTGACATTATCTTGTTTGACTCACAGTGATACGTATATGTAGCGGATGTGCTCACTCTATTTGAAACACCACTTCATTTATACCACATTGCGCTTCTACAAAACGCTAATACATATTACCAATCAGATTTCACACACATGTAATATTCTTGCAGTAAATTCAATAAAGGTATGATCAAGGCGATGCTTTGATACCACTTATTATCGCATGCATGGCTTAATACTTAACACACGATGTATCTCTGTGTAATCAATGATCAATGAATAGCCATGCTCATGCTTGGACTGCTCAACAACTTCCCGGTAAGTCCGAATCTGCTTGACTGGGCTTCCCCTCCCCACACACATGCTTAGTCAGTGCGCGTTGTGTATGTGAGATTAACGTGCGCAAAGAATGTAACAAGGTATGTATACATACGTGATGGTTTGTAAGGACAAATGTATTCCGCAATAAAGTACACAATATGTCATAAAGTTTGTATAAATTTTGTAACCGTGTATTTAGTAGTATTTAAAAAATATATATATTTACCCACAATACACAAAAAAGTAGCACAAATCATTTACCAACTCTAGAACACATGACAGTTGTATTCAAGTACTGAAATGTAGCACTTCATACGAAAAGCAACCATTCTTTAATAGACAAATCACATTCACAGTTAACCAATAGCAGCCATAAAGAAGCAGATATATTCAAAAATATCAGAAATATTGCCATGGAATATGAAAGCAACCAAAGAGGTTGGATGCGATAGGCATCACCAGAGAAGAAGTGAAACTATGTCGACGACAAAAACAATTCGCAAAGGATAACAGATTGGAGTAATATAAATGCAGGTGCTATCAAAACTCATATCTAAATCAAACATGTACAGAAGAAACATTTTAAAAATCGTCATGATCATAGACATATAAACTGCAGGAAATACGACAGTAACCGTGATGGAAGTTAAATGTACTTACATGTTTCTGCTACAGCTGCAAACAGCAGATGAGTGAGTTGAAACTGCAATCACGCCGAGTTTATATAATTGCGTGAGGCGTTTACTTAGAGAGAAGTTGAAATGGTCAGCAAAGAATTACATAGTTGACGTAGTCTTTAAATCCCTCCACAGTGACGTAGTGTATAACGCGTACTTTCTAGATAATCCCACACAATGAAAGTTAAAGAATTTCAACGTAAATTTTATAGCTATTTCTAAACATTCAATTGAATTATTAGTCTAGATTCTTTTTTAATTTTGCTGGGATATTTCTTCTTATATGTTATCATCATAATACAAATCTAGCATTTTGAATAAAAAATGGCTTCGTGCAGATTATCTATATGATGACACTTGAAATGGCAGGAAAGATATATATGATTATTATTATATATTTTAATATTTCTTTCAAACTATAAGCATTACAGGCAGTTAATATTTGTTTCCGTGAATTCATATTCTAGTGATATGGTCTGTATTCTGGATTCGTTTGTAGTGGGACAACAGTGTATGTCAAAAGTTCAATATATTACATTATATGTAGTATTAATGTATATTATTACTGTATGTAATTTTTTTGCGGGTCATATTTTATTGTACGTTTTATTCCATTTTATCTGCTTACTGGGGCATGTTTTATTTCGGTAATTTTGATCTTAAATGAACTCTCTAGGGTTGGGACATGTTAACCTTATGAATAGTAACATTGTGCCTATTTAATTTCACCATTGAATGCAATAATATAATTACACGAACAAAACATTCAGTATTAATTGAATACACATTGTAGTACTGCATAGTAAGTAAGTAAAAGCTGGAGTAAACTCTAGGAAAGGTGTTCCCTGTTTCCATATTGTATCGCTCATACTGTTAACAGTGTTTAATTTGGTTGGTATTATTCTGAATAACATGGGAAGCAGCAAAGAAACAATCAATTTTCACTGGTAATATTACAATCAAGGTTCGGTCAAGCCGACAAATTCTCTGCGGGTGGCATCTTCACTGATTCCATCACTGCATGAATTGACCTGATAATGAATTCTGGTGGCTGTAAACAAAACGAGAGATCGATGATTTTGCATTGCATTCTACGAGCCTCAGGTTGGATTAAAATGTGATACAAGCATTCCCAGACTGACACTCTGTTCAATTCTCATGCGTACTTAGTCACTATACATGTAGTAGGATTAATGTGTATATGAAGCATATAAATATATATATAGATAATGGTTTGTAAGAACATGAACGCGGATAAAATACACAATATAAAGTAAAGGTAGAAAAAGTCAGTCGAGCGTTTCAATCGTATCTGCAATAGAAAACTATAGATACTGAGGAAACCATTGATGTGGTTCACTTGTGTTGAACAACGCTATTACTTAATGCATTCGCAATGTATTCAATATGATTCATCACATAACTTATTAATACATTTTAAGTTACAAGTGTTAATATATTTAAAATTCATTCATGCTTTAATTATGAGTGTTTTTGAAATGGTAGTTTTGAAGAAATGTACTATGCCTCGATCGGTTTCCAGAAACCCCTGACCCCTGACCCATTACTGGACTTAAAATGTGTACTATGATATTTATATATACAAGTAAACGTCTCAGATGCATATGGTTAGTCAATACTTTTTTTTAAAATGTGGACTCTGATCGCCGTCTTCTGAATAATTGTCGTCTTCTAAAACTATAAACTGAATAATTGTTTCTGCAAAGATCCATTCGTCGAACTAAGGAACCAATACTAACACCAGGAATGAAGATTTGCATACCGTTATGTTGAGGTCCCAGTGCCATACTTGTATTCCGGATTACTGAATGCAGAGTTGAATTACAGAACACGTCAACGGTTCAAAAGTTTAACACGCTATACTGTAAATTTAAGTGTTTTAAAATTTGATTTTTGTTCCCAATAAAATCACTACAAGTGTTTTATAATTAAACACATTATGTTTTTTTTCTCTTAAAATCGACACTACTTAAAATCGAATATTTTTAGTGTTTTGGTATAAAACATTTCTGGCATACACATTGTTATTCAATCCCAGATGGCCGACTGTTGGGCATTTTGATGTAAAATTGCACTAAATTGGACATTTCCGAACAGGCTTTAATAGACCAAGTTGTTTAAATTTGGTAGGATGTACATATTTGGTCTCTTATATACGTCCACTTTTTTATTTTGATCAAAATTAGTATGTTCTGTTTTGTATGTGTTTTTTTACGTTTTGATTCAAAATATGATTAACAAGTGACAATTTTCTTTCTTTGTTTTTTTTTACCCCTGGAGTCATTTCTCAGAATTCCTTTTATTGATTATTTCAAAGTTGGTATTGTAACAGGTCATAATCGTTGATATGTGCATGTTTTCCAATCGGATTGTTTTTTTGACCAAACAGCTGAATTTCCTGAATAACGTGATGGACTGATAATCCTTTTGTTTCTTGCATATCCAGAATAGTGCGTAATTTAACCAATGAGAGATAAACGTAACAAATGTATTTCCAGACATTGAAATAATCTGAAAACATAATCACACACCATTTTGTTCTTGCGACCAAAAAACAAAACAAATGTCCAGTGCAGAGGTCACAAGATCTATCTTCTCGAATAAGTCCTATTATAATTTCAATTGTTCTAGCTATTTTTTAGTAAAATGGCAAAACATTCACATATGGCGTTTATCTACTGTGGCCGCTTTTCGTGCATCAGTTCATAAACACCAAGTTAATTGCTGTTTCTATTTACTCATGTGTGTCATATTTGTAATGTCTATTATCTGTTGTATCTGCTTTCTGAGGAATTTCTTTCTTTCAATATTCTGTCTTTACGTCAACCCAATGGGGGTTGTTTTCTGGTCAATCAAATTTGAACTGTAAATGTAAACTTGTCAACCCTAAAAGTGTATGCGTGTCATTGTAGACTCAATGCAGCTTAGTTATATATGCAGGTAGAAATGGTAAAGGAATGTATACATGTGAGCGCTGTTCTCTCACACGCATGTAATACGTTGCATAGTCCAGGGAGAACTAATACAACAAACCCCCTCGTTCACATGTATTCACATCATATTGAATTTGTGCTCTAGTTATATTTGTTTTATGCGTATATACGTGTATAATGTAAACGCCAAAGCTTTGGTCAGCAGTTATAACGCACGGCTGAGTGTATTTACAAGGTGTTGTCCGTCACGGTGATTTTTACAATAATAAACACTCGATAACGAGTTCCGATTACTGACTTGTATCATACAGAAATTGGAAAAAAAGTGAGATAATTGTGGCTGTTTATTGATCACAATCGACCAGGTCAAAAAACTGCAGTTATTGCGTAGGAATAGTGGTGACACTAGTGAAGAAACAAGGTATACTACAATAAGTACATAACTTGATACGCCGTTTATTCAGTGCAGTAGACTGACATCAAGATACTAAGTAAGTACAATCACGATACACACTAATATATACAGAAAGACGTCCTTATAAAGGGTTTAACGGATTCACACCTCCGATTTAAAGTTGGAGGGAAACGCTGTGAATGGTTTCTAATACATTTCAATAGACATACATGTGTTAAGAATAAAATCAGACATGATAATAACTATATATGAAAAACTACCATTATAAATAAACAAAATATATGAATGAAATAACAAACACACGTATGAGTAACGATCCACGATAAGCAGATGCTATTCTTCATGTACAATGCTAAACTGAGGCTAATTTGCATAAATACAAAAACAATATGTTATGCTCTGTCATTGTTTATTCGTACTTC